CTCACTTCTCCGGACCCTGGGCCACACCACAGTTGAGCCACCAGCTTTCTACATCCCAAAGCCCTTGAGCTCTCCCCCTCTCAGCCTCTGCCCCTGCTGTTCCATCTAGCTGGATGCCCTTCCTCCCTACCAGCACTTAACTTGGACTTTTGCACTCTCCAGCTTAACACCAGGCACCTGTCTAGCGCTTGTCCCTGGCAGCATGGCCCTCCATGGTGGCTCCCCAGAACCCTGGGTTCACCTCAGCCAGCCTCCCCCATGACCTTAGAACAGCCTGAAGGATGGGACCTGGTCACAAGCAATGTTCCGGGCCCAGTGCTGCACCAGGCACACAGTACATCAGAAACAATTGTCGACCAAACTGACAATGAACTGAATGAGTGAGCAGTGGGCACCCAGCTCACTAGTTTGTGGGGTGGAATCCCTGGCCCTGGCCATGGACCGGGCAAATGGAGACAGCCTGGAGGGGCAGACAGAGCAGCCAGCAGCAGGGCCGCCCGATTGACTCCAAGGTGGCTTTTATTTCTTCTTCTGCGGTGCCAAGTCCCTGAACAAATATTTTCCTGGAGTGGAAGAACGGCTTAGCTCCCAGCCTGAAGTGCTGGAAACACCGGCTGGGTAGGGCAGGTTCCAGGAACCCGAGGAAGACAGCCTGGCTGCAGCAGGGGGAGGGGGTCCTAGGGGCTGTCCTTGGGCGGTGCCACCCTCCTTCTGTCCCACTATCCGAGGAGAGGAGGGGGTCTGCTCCGCCTAGCCCGGCAGACCCAGACCCGGCTGGGCTGGAAGCAGCGCTACTCTGCTAAGTGCTGCTGTGAGGGGCTTTGCCTGGGGCCTCTCTGCCCATAAATTGGAATCCTCTGGGATTCTGAAGAAAACTCAGGCCATTGGGCCTCCCTCATTTTTGCTGAAAAGGCTACAGTGAGGTTTAAAGGAACTAATTAGAATCTCAGAGGCCCTTTTATAAGCATTTTTCCCCTGTAACTTCCTTACTGAGGAATAACATAGAGTACACTCATCTAAGTGTATGTATAGCTTGATGATTTATTTACATATACATTTAGCCTTGTAATCACCACCCACATCAAGCCAGAGAACATTTCCGGCACCCCAGAAGGTCCCTTTGAGTCCCTGCCTAGTAATGCCACACCCTCAGCCAGAGGAACCCACTGGCTTTTATTATCATCAATTAGTTCTGCCCGTCCCTGAACTTTCTATCCGTGGAATTCCGCAGTGCGATTTCTGCTATTTCTAGTTTCTTGTGTGCTTAATATATTGCCCATGATGTTCTCCTATGCTGTGCATGTGGCAGTAGCTTGTCCTTGTTTATTGCTGAGTAATATTCCACAATTTATTTATCCATTCTCCTGGTAACGTATGTCTGGGTCACTTCCAAGCTTGGGCTCTGTTGAATGTAGCTGTGATGGGCCTTTTTCCATATACCTTTCAACAGACAAATGCTATCACTCCAAGTGGGTCATGGGGTGGGTGCATGCTGGTGTCAGAACATGCTGCCAAGTGTCCTGCTGACAGCCTCAGAAAGCACCGACATAATCTCCTTCATCTCTTAAGTCTAGCCCAAAAAGGGTAGGTTGTGTGTCTCAGGGGGTGTCTTGCACTATTAATAAGCTTATAAACATTGTTTGACCTTCAGAGCAGGGGAGCAGCACCAGTCAGCCATGATGGGCACCCCAAAGGCAGAGGCCTCCACACCCACGGTGAGCCCTGAACATGAGGACTCCCACAGGTTCACATGAGAAGGTATCTGCCCTCCAGGAGCACCCAGGGTGACAGGAAGCCAGAAAGCTGCCAGAACATGGCAAAAGGTGCCCCACAGGGGTGACCCAGAAGTCATGGGGGCACAGAGGACTCATAGGTCTCCCCCAGCCTCAAAGTTGAGCAGGTATGAAGTAAATCTGCTGAGGACCCAAGTCCAGACATATTCACACACTCACACATCACAAGTGGGCATGGCTCAGGGACAGGTGGGGTGCAGTGGTATTGGGGAGGTGGGAGAAGGGGACAAAAGCAGCTGAGGGCTGTTCCTATGGCCAAGGGGAGCTGGCTGGACCCTCCAGCTCCTACGGCACTAGGGTCTAGGGGCCCAGAGCAGATTCTAAGCTGTCCAGGCCCTCTGCTCACGTGCTTCAGGAACAAGGACTCACCCGACGCCCCACCGCCGGGTAGCACAGCCCTTCTCTTCTGCCAGCCACCTCGCAGGAGGGAGCTCGGCCTGGCCCAGGCTCCTCTGCAGGGTGGTCACCTGCAGACCCATGGAAAACAACCTTTTCTCCCTGACGCTATTGCGGGCCCATCCTTGACTAGGGCTCAGGAGACACCCTCATCCTGGGGCTTTTTCCTCAGGCCGCCTTTGGGACCATGTCCCTGTGGGCAAGCAAGGGGAGGACCCACAATTCCAAGCACTCCCTGTACTGCCTCTACGATCCCAAACCCAGCATCTGTTCTCCACCCACTCCACATACCCAGACTGGTCCCCAGGACTATCCCTTCCTGACACTGGCTTGCCTTTCCCCTCCACCCAGAGCCTCAAAGTCCAAGTCCTCACCTTTGCCAAGGCTGTGCCTTCTGCCCAGAATGCCTTTCTCCCCTTGTTTGAGAGGGGAGTAATGTGGACTTGTCTTTCCAGACACAGTTTAGCCGCCCTTCAGCACCTTCATGACCCACATGCTGGCCAGTTATGTGCCCCAAAGTCCAGCAGCCCATTCCCAGCTCTCTGCCATTGACACCTCTTTCTCTTTTGTCTCCCTTGGGCCGCCCTGAGTGCAGGGAGCAGAATACAAGTCTAGGATCTTTATTCGGGCTGTGAAAATATATCCAGAGCAAAACCCCAGAGGCAAGCTCGGCAAAAATGCAATTTAACACAGAAACCAGCTGCAAATTAAGAGCACAACACAATCTAAGAGAAGATGGCTCACATGTTTGAAAAATAATTTGAAAGAACTCCTAGTGGACAATCCAGGGAGCCCCCAGGCAAAATGCAAGCACACACACCTAGGCCATGCTGCAAGCTGGGTCTAAAGGGGAGGAAAAATGAAATCGTGCCCATTGTCCCCCTGCCAAGTGTCCCTGAGGGGAGGTGGGCAGACAACATTTGAGCCAGGTGTGCCCAAGGGACTCCAGATAACCTTTAAATACTCCCACGATGGCTTCTTTACTGTTAGTCTCAGGCATGTAGCGAAGTCTGTTTTAGGCACAGCCCTTTTCTGGTGGTGCCCCTGCAGTGGGGTGGGGGCCCAGGGCAGGGCAGCAAAGCAAGAGAAGAGAAGGATTAAGTATAAACACCAATAGATAGGGCAGAGCATGGTTTTTCTGTTTTGCTTTGTTTTTGAAACAGACTTTCGGCTC